CCCACTCCCCACTAAAATCCCAACTAAAATGCGTGGTGCATCTACCAACCAAAATGGGATCCAAAATTTGCTTTGACGGCCACAGCCATGTGAAAAATTGGATTTATTTACGTACCCTACAAAAACACTGATCAATAAAACAGTAGACTAAAACCTTCCTTCCCCTAGTGGTTGAATTTTCACCCATACCCATGTGGATTTCTTTTTGCTCGTGCCCGGGTGGATCTGTTTCTGCTCGTGCCAAGTTTCGGCTTGGCCTTCGCTGAAGCCTCTTTGGCTTCTCCAGTGGCTTCTATGGCTTCGTCGGCCTCCTTAGTTGCGAGGCCATGGAAACACGTTTGGCAGTGGGCTTCACTACCTGCATAAAATAGGCCAAACGGATACAAACAAGTAAAACCCGAAAGGGATTCTGTGGCCAAACAAAAGTAGGCAGCTGAATCTTATATAGATGGTTGCTTGCATTGGTCTACATAATCTGGCTCAATCAAAACTCTGATCCCGACATACTCCAAGCGGATTCCCACGAGACAAAGAGTGGCACGCTCTTTTGTGCCTCCAAACGGAAACTGATGTCCGGGCGCCTCCCCCTCAAAGCAAAACAAAGAAAACACAATATGTATTCTAATAAAACTCAGTTTTATAAATGATGTATGAATATAAACATTGTTATAATGAGTATAAACATAATTATACTGAAATTAAACAAAAAGCAACCATATTAAAATTGACTCATAGGGCAGGGTGTCAGCTGCCGGCGCAGCTTCCGCCTCTGCCGGCGCTGTTTCCGCTGCCGGTGCTTCGGCTGCCGCCTTGGCCTGGAAGCCCCGCGTCAAAAAGTGGCACTGCCGCAGGTGGGGACGTGTTCATTTCCTGAAAGGTAACAGGTTGAATTGCAGGTTGAAGTGAGTTGACAGACGGTCAAAAGGCAAATTGTTGGAGATCAATCCACAAGGTCCTTGTGGCAGATGGTAGCGGTTTTCTTTGTTGCGGTGTCCCACTACAGTACTGGGCTGCCCTCAGATCCCCTGCTAAAAGCTTAACTTTTAGTGGGTTAAATGGAAACTAAAAGGCTAAAAAGCTAAGGAACTGGATGGCTGGGAGCCACCAAGTTTCCTACAAGGTAACAGGTTGAATTGCCGGCTCAGATCTAACCAATAAGGGTCATCGAAATTCGTGGTTTTCCAAGGGCCCCTCCACCCAAAAACCCAGCAAATAATGGGACACACAACCAAGCAGCGATTTATGGGAGGTTACCCCATATATAAGGGATTTTGCCCTGGGGTCGTGGTTTGGGGCTAGTGGATGGGGAACCCTTTTTTCTCACCCTCCAAACCTTTTTTTTCAACCCTTCCCTGTTTTTTCAACCCTTCACCCTTTCAATTTAACCCTCCCCCCGTCTTTTTTAACCCTCCCCCCTTTCTTTCTGACCCTCCACCTCTTCCTTTCAACCCTCCATTTCTTTTTTGCCAACCCTGTGGCCGACGCCTGCGGCAACTGCACTAAGTAACGGTTTAAGGTTGGGTTGGTTTCGGAGTGGTTTTGGATTTAGGGTTGGTTTAGGGTGGTGGGTTTAGGGTTGGTTTCGGATGGGAAGGGTGGGTTTACGGTTTTGTGTTAGGGTCGGTTTTGTGTTGGCTTAGGTTGGGCGACCTCAGATGTAAGGCTAGTTTGGGGTAGAACTAGGTTTGTGTAGGAAGGGTTTAGAGGCGGGGTAGGGTTTGTTGAGGGTGGGTTTAGGGTTGGTTTGGGATGGAAAGGGCAAGTTTGTGGTCGGTTTAAGTTTAAGGTTGGTTTCGAGCAGGTCTGCTGGGTATATGGTGGGTTCAAAGTTGGATGAGGGTGGGCGTTTGGCTTTGGAGAATGGGTCTAGTGGGTTTATGATTGGTTTAGGGTTGGTTTAGGATGGATTTAGGGTTGGCTACGGGTGAGTTTAGAATGGGTTTAGGGTGAGGTCAGGGTTGGGATAAAGGTTGGATTTACTTAGGGTGGGATTAGGGCTCGTGTCGAAAGGCTTCAGGGTGGATTTTGGGTGGATTTAGTGTTGGCTTTTGGGGTCGGCTTCGGGTTGGATTAGGTTGACTTAGAGCACGATTTCGGTGGGTTTGTGTTTGGTTTAGGTAATCTAGAGTAGGTCTGTGGTGGCTGTAGGGTTAGCTTAGGGTTGGTGTAGGGTTGGTTCAGGGCGGGTTTGCGGTTTGTCTATGTCTAGGGTGGCGTTGGGGTTGCGCTAGGGCAGGCTTGGGGTTGCTCAAGGGTGACTTAGGGTTGATTTGGGGTGGCTTGATTTCAGGTGGGCTTAGGGTTTTTTAGGGTATGTTGTTCGTTTGTTTTGGGTTGGATGTAGGTTGGTTCAGGGTTGGTCTGGGATGGTTTAGGGTGGGGTTTGCGGTTGGTTTCGGCTTGAATGTGGATTGGTTTTGCGGTTGGCCTAGGGTTGGCTTCTCTGGATTTAGGGTTGGGTCAAGCTCAGCTTAGAGTCTCAGGGTGTGCTTAGAGTTGGATCAGGGTGGATTCATGGTTGATACAGGGTGGGCTTATGGTTGGTTTAAGGTTGGTTTGGAGTGGCTCAGGGTTGGTTAGGGTTGGTGTAGGGCTGGCCCAGGTTGGTTTTTGAGTTTAGTGTGGGTTGCTTTTGGGTGAGTTCAGGGTGGGGGCAAGGTTGGTTTAGGGTTGGTTTTTGCTGGGCTTGACTTTAAGGTTGGTTTTCGGGGTGGTTTGGGATTGGTTAAAGCTGGGTTTAGGGCGGGTTTAGGATTGGGTTAGGATTGGCTTAGGGTCGTTTTAGGGTTGAGAGTTGGTTTTGGGTCGGTGGGTCTGTTCAGGGTTGGTTTAGGTTGGGCTTGGGGTTGCGTTAAAGCTAGATTAGAGTGGGATTGGGGTTTAGCTGGGTTTAGGGTGGGTTTATTGTTGGCTTAGGCTAAGCTTAAGGTGTGGGGTGGGATTACGGTTGGATCAAGGTTCGGGCGGGTTTAGAGTTCGTGTAGGGTGGGTTTAGGGTGGGTTCAGGACTGGCTTGTTGGTTTAGGGTTGGTTTAGTTTGTTGATTTAGGGTCGGTTTGGGATTGGTTACGGGTGGGTTATGTGTGCTTTAGGGTGGTTTCGAGTAGGTCAGTGGTGGTGTAGGGTGGGTGTAACTTGGCTTGGGGTGGGTCAAGGGTTGGACAAGAGATGTGTCTGGTTTGCTTAGGGCTTGTTTAGATTGACTTAGAGTTTGGCTGGTTTGAGGGTTGGCAAGGTTTGGCTTAGGGCGGGCCTAGGGTTGGTTTGGGTTGGGTTGGGTGCGGGGCGGGCTTAGGTTGTTTTAGGTTTAGGGTGAGAAACACAAGGTTGCGGGGTGAAACAAGCAAGCTCGCGGGTGAAAAAAAACAAGGCGGAGGGTGAACAAAAACAAGGCGGAGGGTGAAAAAAACAAGACAGAGGGTGAAAAAAACAAGGTGAGGGGTTGAAAAGAAAGGATTTCTCAGGGTTGGAGAAACAAGGTTCCCGCAGACGGTTCCCAAGCAGGGTCTGAGGGTGGAAAAAAAAGGAAGGGTTAAAAAAACAACTTCGGAGGGTGAAAAAAAAAGGGAGCCCCTAGTGGATGGATGGAATGCACCAGTTGACAGACGGTCAAAAGGCAAATGGGCGATCAATCCACAAGATCCTTGTGGCAGATGGTAGTGGTTTTCTTTCTTGTGGTGCTTTTATCACAGTAGGGGTTGCAGTTCACATCCTCATTTAAGGAACAACACAACGCAACCCACAAGGTTCTGTGGTGGTAGCTTCGGCTTGAAAACGACCGTCGGTGCATCTCTTTGGGGCCACTCAAAATGGTAGGTCCAGTGAGGTTAGAATAAGGGTACCAACTTTTTGTCTGTAATTAGTCTGTTTTAGTAGGGGAACCCTCCCAACAAAAAAGGGGAGAGAAGGGCACTACTGGGGGACCTAGAATGGAAAGGCCCAACGAGGAGGACTCTTGACTTTCTTTGGCACGTTTTCGGGCTCCTGTTTTACCGCCGCCATATCAAAACCAACGCCGAGCCCCCATGTCAGCCCTATGAGGTGCGGGAGTTTGTTGCCATCCCATCTTTTTTGCAACCAAGGACCCTGACTGCGACTTCCAGCGCTTACGTGAGGATTTTGTATATAGCGAAAGTGGGTGTGAAACTGAAGGGGACACGTCTCCATAGAGAACAGAACGCTTCGCTCAACTGCCAGCCATGCTGCGCCAATCCTTCACAATCTGACAGGTCCTTCAGATGTCAACCAGGCAAGCAAACAAGCAAGAAAGCAAGACAGGCCAGGCCAAGCCAAGCCAAAGCAACACAAGCACAGCCACCAAGCCAGCAAGCAACCGCACACATGCACACACACATATATACATGCACACACACACACACATGCGCACACACACACACACACCACGCACAGCACAGCACCAGCGAACACAGAACAACACCTTGACGCAATCTCCGAACCACTACACATCAAAAAAACGCAAGCAACCCCTAGTCCGCCTTTGCAATGACAACCAACCCGTATATAATATACCCTGGGGTTCAAACCACCATTAAAACAATGGGGGTTCATCATCACCACCATTTTTTAAGGGTTGTCATCATCCAAATTGGTTCCCTGCCATGTTATTGGTTGGGATTGAGCCTAGACATAGTGTTCCTGCCGCATCTTCCCACACGCTCGGGCGCTTGCCCCCCCGCGCGGCGTGCCTCCTTAGCTTCTGCTTTGGCCTCGGAGCTGCGGTCTACGGCCTCGGAGCTGCGAGCACTGATTTGGGAAGCACTCCACCACCTGTCGCTGCGCGATGGCTCGCCCACTTCAAGCGCTTTAAGACCCGTCCCAAGCTCCCACATCATTCCAAGGCAAGTCAGCCACAGGCAGGGATGGGGCATGGTGAAGGATTAATTTCTTCGGCTTCATCCCACCAGGAGTTTGGCACTCTTTTGGGAGATTCTGCTTGCTCCAGATCCGATTCAGCCGCTCAAAACCACAATTCATCAGATCGAAGGGTAGGCTTGGAGGTGACGTTGGTTACACTGCTTCACTTTTTGGGATGATCCAATAGACTTGGTGCGCTTGTATCTGTCCAGGCTTCAGATCATCGTGATGCATCGTGGCAGGGATCGAGGGCGCAGCCATGCCCCCGCCCAAAACAAACACACAACTGGCGCTCACACAAGCGGGCAGCCTGTAGTCACACTCCGAAGCCACACATCCTTGTTTTTTGTTCCCCTGAAACCTTTTGAGGCCAAGCAAAACACTGTGCGATGAAACAGTCTAAGAGGCTAAATGTCACAGCATAAGCCAGCTCTGCAATTAGTTCAGTGGGAAAAAACCGAACGGAAACGGTTACAACTTACAAGCCTGGCGAATCGAAGACTACCATATGCCATACCCTCTATATGTGTAGATTTGTACGCATGTCATTTTTTTTTACTTTGTTGCTGTTGACCCCTCTGCAAAAAGTTAAACTTTTTGTGGGTTTAATGGAAAACCCCTTGATTTCCCAAAAAAGTCTAAAGATCCAACCCAATAGCAGTGAAGTTCAGGGTTCCCTTTTTTAGGAATCACGCTCGGCCTTCCCTCCCTTTTTTCACTCCAGCAAGTAGTTTGTACAAAACAGAGAAACTAGTCCGGAAAGTTTCGGGGTTGCTTTGGCATCCAACCAATCCAAGTCGGCATCACTTTCGGAAGCAAGGCGGAATCACGTCCCTTGGTGCAAAAAAGTGGGTAGCATTAGAGCTAACCATCATCGGCGACTTGGAGAATGCCTTTCCGTGCAACCCCTGGGACGGGCGGGCGGGCCTAAGACGGAAGCACTACGAGCAAAAGGGAGGAGCGGCGCGGCGGATTCCTAAACTTCGAACCGTATGTCAAGGAATCACGCTCGGCCTTCCCTCCCTTTTTTCACTCCAGCAAGTAGTTTGTACAAAACAGAGAAACTAGTCCGGAAAGTTTCGGGGTTGCTTTGGCATCCAACCAATCCAAGTCGGCATCACTTTCGGAAGCAAGGCGGAATCACGTCCTTGGTGCAAAAAAGTGGGTAGCATTAGAGCTAACCATCATCGGCGACTTGGAGAATGCCTTTCCACGTTCCCCTGCTCTCCGATATATCGGTAGCTCAAGTGCTTTAAGTTTATTGAACCACATGGTCTGAAAACACCTTTGCTTACGTGACATGACCCACGAGTGCTCGGTTAGAAGTGCAACTCCATCGGAGATATAAATGCGGGCAGTTCTTTCTGAAGCCCATCGCCCCTGCTGGCACACTTGAGTGTAGCTTTTAGTGTCAATATACAAGGCGGTAGCACCTCCCCTTCTCAAGGAGTAAGGCTTGAACCCCGTGAATTGGCACTTTTGGATGGCTTGGCTGAAGGACAACCTGAACTGGTATTGCGACACAGGCACAAGATAATCATGTGGCTTGGCTACGGAGGCCCATGCCTGCAACAGTTGAGCCGTGTAGATATGATGAATGTACACGTTTTCCACACCGGCATTGCGAGATGTCATTTTTGTCTCACCCAAATGAATTAGTACATGTGCCCCTGAGGGGATCACATGGCAGGCTTGTATTTTTAGAAGCTCACCAGTGCGCAGCAAGCCCCAAAAACCTGTCAAGAGGGCAAGAGGCATCCAAGGGGTGGTTAAAGTACATCCACACAAGACCTCAACTTGTTCTTTTGTGAAGGGCGGAGCCCGTGCAGGCAATTCATTCTGGGCCCAAGCCTTCAGCAGGCGCCAGGCCTGTGGTATGTGCCCCTTTACCGAGGGTTGCAAATGCTGCACACCTGATAAAGTATCAGCGGCCAAGTAGCGGCTTTCACCTTCTTCCCATAGATGCTCAAGATAGTCCGACAGTTGAACATCTAATTCAGGATTGGATTTAGCAAGCGCTAAGCGGTGGTTCCTCTGATACTGCAAGAATGAAGCAAAAGCACGATCATATCGGACTTTTGTGGCTGGCTTGATTATGAGGCTCTTCAAAGTTCCTAGTTTTTGCCGACGCTCCTTACGCACCTTTTCCTTAGGGGAATCCACTACGCAACGCTTGACCATTTGCGTTTGGACCTCCTGCGACTGGGTTCGTCTGCGGGGTTCAGGTGCGTCGATACGTATCCTAGGATCATGATGGAGCCACTTACCAAGAGCCAAGCTGACAATCGTTGCATCACTCGGCGCAACTTACGCGAACTGGACCGTCCCTTCGAGGAGGCCTGTAGCACGACTAGGCTATCAACCAAATGCACAAAACGAACAGGCGCCCGATGCAAACGGCAAACTCTCCATTTCACTGATGACAACAGTGCACGCAATTCCAACTTATTTATATGCTCTGGAAGCATACCTGTCACCCGTTTCCACTGCCAGTGACACACCGTTTTCCACTTCCACAGGCGCGGATCCAATCCCACTCTCAGGCGTTGATGCTGGGGCAAGCTGTCGTGTTCCTGGCTCAGGAGCAGGTCGGCTCCCTTTTGTGACACCAAAGTAGAGAGCTTTTTCACCAAGGATATGGAAAGGTCTGTGGCTTTGCCCATTCGCGGTCGTTCCCAGTGAGGGCGCTGCAGAAAACCCACTAGGTCTGGCGAAGCGCCGGGCCTCAATCGCTCTTCCAATTGCACAACGCTGAGGCGGGCACACAAGTTGAAAGGGCGCAAAAGAGACATCAACAGGAACGCGGTGACTCCTACAGACCAGGAGTTTCCCAGCAAACTGCATCGAGTGTCATCCAACAGCAATGGGTTAGATTTTCTTTCACCTTTTGGAATGCACTCTGCTGTGTAATCCAATGGGAAACCCATGCATGTCTCTCTCTCACGAGTGCTGAGGATTCTCCACCCAAACTTGCGATGCTTCAATCCATGAATGACACGATATTGGTATGGAGGAAATCTGTAGCGGTCCTTCTCCCACACCAGGAGCTCATCCGCTGTGCATTGGCTAATCCCCGCAGGTCTAAAACCTGGTTGGCATTTGGGAATACTGGTTGTCAAGGTGGGGAAACGATGGTCCTTGCCAGACACGGGTTCCCACCCCGGCTCCAGGTAGTGACAAACCTCTACATCTACCTGGAAGGAGATTCGACCATATTCGTGAGGCTTTGATGAATGAGGCAATTGGATGCACACATTGTCCTCACCTTCAACAGGGAAGTCAAACCACCACAACCGAGGCCGTCGGCATGGGCTCAGTCCTGCAGCATCTACCACATAGGGCAAAACTTTGAGTTCGGTGGTGAATGCAGCCCTGTCACCCTCTGACATGCTGAAAACATTCTCAACCAACTTTCGCACACTGGCCCAGGGCATGTGAATTTTGACCCATTCAACAATTGGCTGGATCAGCTGGAACAGCTTTGTCCTAGGGTCGTGCAACGCCCCTTTTCGGCTAGCATTTAACTGGCTGACTCCCTGGCAAGGAGGACCAGCTGACACCAACACCACTTTAGCACGTTGGAAGCGCCTAGCCCAATTCAACACATTGGCCTCTGAGATTTGCGTGACATCATCTTCAAACAGGACTGATGGGAAAGCGCGTTCCACGACCCTCCGGGCTGGTGCGGCACATTCAACGGCAATGTAACCACACACATTGGCTTCAATGAGCTCAAGAGCTACTCGACATGCTCCAATCCCATCAAACAGCGAGATGACCAACACACCGTCATCGCCTAAGAGGTCTGGTTGTTCCCCCCTTACGGTCTTAAATGCGGCCTGCTGCCCCATAGGAGTAAGACCAACAGATTGGCAGACCCCGCCTCCGTGCTCGGAAGCGTCCGAGCATGTGACAACCTCGCTGAACTCGGCTCCAAAGCAAATGTAGGCCAGCGGGGCAAGACTAAGGCTCAACCAGAGTTCTTTCTTAACCTCAGTGGGTATTGGAAACATGGCAGTCCCCGAAGGATCCTGGCGCCCGAGCTCTACCAGAAATGACCAACATTCATTAAGGTTGGCCATCAGCGGACGGCGGAACTGAAAGAGGTACACCAACCCTCCCAAGGCAATTTGCAACTGCTTTAGGCTGGCGACAGTTTGACACAGCAAGAAGAAACTTGCCCTGAGGTACCTGACGAACTTTTCAGGCTTCGGGTAAGCTATATTCCTAACTCCATCTACCAGGGCACCTTGCACTTCAGCTGTCGATGCTCGGCTGACAGACTTCTTCTGGTTGGCTGGCACTTTCAACTTCTCGTACTCTCGTCTAAGAGCATCCGAAGAGGGGGCTCTGGATCCCTTCAAGACTTCTGCGGCTGACGAGTTAGTTTTCTCTAACAGGTCAAAATTGTCCAAGTAAACTCGGTATCCAACCTCAGACTGAGGGAAAGTCGAGTCACGCCTGAACTCACACTCGGCACCAGGTCCTACCTTGGACAGAGCTCGCTTGACTATCTCTCGGTGGATGTGTTGAGCTACTGCTACGCTATTGATGAACCCCATTGGCAGCACACGACTGGTAAGCACGTGGGGACGGCTGTCTCCCGGAGGCCTCAGCTGATCAGGAACCTCCTTACCGAAAGCCAAAAACGGGCGCCATTGAGGTCCTAGGCCAACTATGTAAAACATAGCCCTGATGTCCTCTGAACTTATCAAGAGGTCCTCATGCGGCCTTACCTCTAGCCCGCCTAGCGATGTCACCATTGGTAAGGTTCCCAAGTCACCCTCAACTGCTAGGAAATTACGGTTAATGGGGCGCAGATCCATAATTAACCGCAATACTTCGTGTCCGTCAGGGGTGGTCTCATGCTTAGGCACCCCAAAGAGTCCTCCCAGACAAGGAGATCCATGCACATGGAAAACATCCTCCACTGCAATAACCTCGCAGATTCCTCGTCTCACCAAGCCTAGAGACACTTCGTCCCAATCATCATCCTTGATCATAACGTGAGGGGTCTCCACAACGGCAACAAATACTTGGTTGGGTGTTCCAGAAAATCTAGTACTCCCCCAGTGGCTACCATCTCCGGCGATAGCACTCCTGCCTGCTCTGCAGTCGGGAGGCTCGAACGTAGATTGGCCCAGCCCACCGACCTGCAATGGTGGATTTCTTCACCATATGCGTTCACGCTCTTGGAATTCCAAAAATGTTCAATGGAATCCTCGGGAATCATGCAATTGAACAAGTCCTCATTCCTAGAGAACACGGAGACGAATTCAGACAGCAGTTTCCTTTGTCCAGGTGATCCAGCCCCCATGGGCGATTCTGGTGACCCCACGGTCATGACGTTCAGGGCATGCACACCGGCGTGGCACCAAGAACCCCATTTCCCCATTTCTGCTCCTGGCAGTCTGGGAGAGGGAGCGGGAACAAGTCCCGTCCCGTGATGGGTATGCTGGAGTGAACAGCATCCTTGATTTGTTGCAGCTTCTCCTAGGCCAGGAGTTGTGATCCCAAAACGCTTAACTCTCCAACTAAGAGCCCTCGGTTATTAGTCCTAGCACGGGGTGGCAAAGGAGGGATTCGAGGCTGCGGCGGTCTAGTACAATCATAAATTGGGCATGCACTGGTACACTTTACGGCAGGCTCTAGGAGGGGGCAACTACCTGAGTTTGCTGGCTTGCCCCACTCCCAACGCTTTTCCTTGTCCTTTCCCTCGCCCTTCTTTCCTTTTCCTTTGCCATCCCCCTTCCGGTCCCCTTTGGGGGGTTCCCAACGACTCATCCAACGATTCCCCCCCGCGCTTCCTCGCAGCTGGGTCTCCAGGCGCTCTGATGTCCGTTGTTCCTGGGCGGCATTGTGTCCCTCCCCTGCCGACAGCAACCGAGCGGTGTCGGGGAGAAGCACTTCGACCTTCATGGCCGTCTCGGGGGATCCCCCCTGAGCCATGAGTTCTAGGCTCTTCATCCGTTGCATGCAGATGTCCATTGCCCCTAACACATTCCCCTCTACCAAGCTGTCTAGGCAGGTTGCCAGCGTTTGGAACTCTCTCCTCATGGGTTTGCTCGGCATTGCCCCGCTCTGGACAACCTGTTGGCGGTAATACTTCATCATGACGGGTCGAACTTCGTCTCCCCCCGAGGAGAAACCTTCGGCTTGCCTCAGGAACTTGTTTGCCTCCGACATCCCATGTCTGGTGAGGAGGCCGGGGCACTTCTGGGATATGCGTCTCACTTGACTGGGCTCCTGGAACAATCCTCCGCTCTCGGCTGAGTCCTCTGATGAGGAGCTGTTGCTTCCCCTGCTGGAACTCCCTCCATGATCTCGTTTCACCCTGAGACGAGGCTTCTTGAACATGGGGTCTATGCTGCTGCCTCTCCAGTTCCATCTCGACCTCACTAGCATTTCTTTGATGCGTTCCTTTGTGCGTCTGTGAGGCCCTCCTGATCTCTTTCTCCTCTTCTTCTTCCTCTTCTTCTTCTTCTTGACCCCACTGCTCTCCCGCTCACCGAACCCCCGTCCCGGTCCTGCAAAGGATCTGGCTGGCCTGCTCCCAATCGAGGAGCGCTCGGCGGGGCCTGGGGCATCGGATTTTGGCTGAAACCCATGGCTTCGGCGGCTTGATGCAACTGACCTAGATCTCCCTCTCCAGGAGTCGGGCTGCTTCCTACCACTAGATTTCGGCACCAGGGCAACGCAGGATCTGGCTCTTTCATCAGAACGGGGTGGAAAAACTCCGGTCCCCGGGCTGGAACCTTCATCACTCCCTCTGGTATAAACAACTCTCCTGCTAGCCCGGCCCGGATTGCTCCATGCACGTACTCTTGGACGTGAAGATGAGGGCTCCCACATACCTGCAATTTAAGGTAGTTACCACTGGAATCCTCAAACCGTGCAGTGATCTCACCTACTACCTCCACAGGGTTGTTGCAATAAGTTCCCTTCAAATGCAACTGCGATCCAATCCAAATGGCACCTGAGTCAAAAGGAAGGAATGGATTCTCAATCTCAGCTTCCTTGGGGCTCTTGCCGCCCCGGCTTTTCTTAAGGATACCAGGCCTTTCAAGCTCCTTGTTAAGCTTTGGGCTCTTTTTGACGGGGAGTTTAGCAGCTGGCTTCCTTAACACGACCTTTGCAGCAGGGCGTCGCACTGGCATCCCACACTAAGCCTCTGGCGGGCTCCGGCGAGGTTCCCCTCGGAGTTCTACCTAATCCAAATCGCTCAGGACCTCAAGCGAGCGTCCTTTCCTGGCCCAGGCCTCAGCCTGCGACTCCCCTTCCAAGGGAACCGGCCTCCTGATGCCGGGAAGCACTTCCTCTGCCTCCTCCAACTCCAAGTCCCGCTCGATCTCCTCCTCCCCCCTGGGGCGGCGATCTCCCAAGAGGTCCAACGCACGGAACTCCTCCTCCTCACGCTCCTCCTGGGCGGCTGTGTCCTCCTTTACCTCCTCAACCTCACTGCTCCTAGGAGACCGAGATCTCTCCCTTGCACGCTCGTAGCCCGGGCCACCCTCGGCCCACCACCGCTCCTGACGACTGCGGTGCTTAACTCCTTTGCTCCTCTTGGGCCAAGCTCCTTCTCCTTTGCCCTTTGGGCTCTTGCCCTTAACCTTGCCTTTGCCCTTGCCCTTTTCCTTTCCACCCTCCCACCTCGGAGGGGGATAGGCGGGCTCCACAGGCCTCCTCTTCGCCTCGGCTGGGGCCAGGACCAGACGCTCAGCCTCTGGTCTTTCGGCACTCCTGTCCTCCCTTCTAGGAGGAACAGGTGGCGGCACACGAGCGCTGGAGCTGCTCTTTGGGGTTGCAGTAGAGAGGATTTGTCTCTGCACCCGGGCCTCGTCTCTCTCTCTAAGAGACGGCCGCCACTCACTGCGGGTCGGCCTGATGACCTCCCTTCGAGGAGATCCTTCCCGAACCTCCCTACGAGGAGATCGGCTAGGCTCCCGTCGGCTGCTGGCTCCCTTCTGCTCAAGGAGCACCAGCACCTGGCTTTGAGCGCCCTGGAGAATCTCCAAAAGGGCACTCAAATCAGATGGCGCCGACAGCCGGGGGTCGAGGCAGAGACTCCTCAATGCCCCGAGCCCCCGGCAGACCCCGCAGTGCCTGGAAGCTCCCTGCGAGGAGACCCTCCACTGGTCGCAGCCCCGGCAAGCAATGCCGGGGCTGCAACTCCTGATCATCAGGTAGGAGGATTTCCCTCCTACCACAATCCTACTTCTGCCTAAGACGGAAGCACTACGAGCAAAAGGGAGGAGCGGCGCGGCGGATTCCTAAACTTCGAACCGTATGTCAGGGAAGGTTTGAAAGGGAATCGAAGACTCAAGTTGTGTCGAACAAAACGAAACGAAGCATTGTGGGGCCCCAGGCCGGCGCTTCGGGTTTGAAGACCTTTGGCCTCGGCCGATCACGCAATTTACCGACTGGCCATGGGCGGGGCTTCAAAAACCCGATAGGTGTGTCTTATGTTGCCCCCACCCAAAAACAAGTAGAATAACATAACTCAGTTGTTCAGTGACCCTGGAAAAAAAAGGGAACCCTTTTTTGGGAAGACCATTTTAGTGGGGAAGCCACCAAAAAAGAAAGGACAAAGAGAGCCACTGAACGACTGAGTTTCCACAAGTCAATTAACAAGAAGTATCTTCCTACTGGATCCCAAGATATCCCGATGCTGCCGATGCCCTTGTGCAAATGGATGGCGTGTAGAGAAAAACACAACACCGACCTTGGTCCTGTGGGGACCCCTTGTCGCGTAGCTGAATATGGTTCCCTTCAAGCCAAGACTCCAAGACCCCGGCACCAGTGCTACTTGCCCAAGTTGTCTTGTTACTTTCGGAACGTTGGCTAAACTCCCAGTTTGGAAAATCAGACGCTCGTTGACGATGAGTAAATTCTCTTGCCACGCCACAACGGGGAACAGGCTGCAAGATCACCCTTCCTGTGGTACTATTGTCGGCCACCTTAGTCTCAACGTCCACTTTGAAGCGATTCCATTGGAACAGAAAGCAGCCCTAAACCCCACATCTTTCAAAGCAAACCCTCAAAGTCTATGTCTCAACCAACCAACACAAGGTACCGAGCCTCAAAAAAACACCACCGGGACCATAGCGGTTTTTGTCATTGGAAGCTTGGTAGAGGCTACAGGATGGGGATGATGGACATGGACAAGCGGGCTCCGGTGTCTGTTGCATTTTTCATAACTGTCCTATATGTTTTTTTTTGGAAATTCCTCATATATTTTATAGATTTCTATTCTTCTATCTGGTTCGTTTTGGGTACAGTAACCGAAGAAACCTTGCACAGAGTACCTTTGGAAGGGGGGGACCTTGGCACAACTTTCCCGTCATGGGGGCTGTCTTTATTTCCAGCTTCAACGCCAGCGCCTCATCTTTCCCTCCCCTGCTTGCACAAGAAGGCTCTCCGCTTGACAAGTCCTAGGAGTGATTGCTGGAGAAGCTGTAGAGACAAAACAAAAGATGAACATGACCCTACGGCGTCATACTGTCAAAGCTTCATCTCAGACACCATGGATCTCGAGTCATAGCATGCGAGCTGAAGCCTCTCAGGCACACACGGCATGTCAGCAAGTCGAATGTCAGTTTGTATGCGCGAATTCGAGATATTGACTGTCTGAATGGTCCACGTAGGGGAAAAAGCTGTCTGTTCAATGATGTCAAGAGAACTTCTCAAAGGCAGCCAGCGCCCCAGCGTTCACAACCAACCGGGCCATTTGATGAGCCGCCCTCGGATCATATAGATCGGGACCCGCCACCCCCCAATAGAAGATGTACCGAAGAAAAGTCGCACAGTACCTCCCAAAACCTTTTTCCGACACGAATTTCAACCGCATCTTCTATATGATCCTTGACGGGCTGTGCAAACATGCTCAGATCATATAGAAGAAAGGCGAGGGGCAATATCTTCTATGTTTGCGTCGCAAAATATATGCTAAAGGGAACATGCCCCGCAATTCTGAGGGAAGCCCCAACAGTTCCAGGGAAATCCCCAAATATGCGGGTCCCCGCCCAATGTTGACACGAACCCACCAATTTAGAGACGACCATACTGCGACCTGGATGGACCTTCCGCGCCAAAAAACGGCGCGGCTCGGCTTAAGCAACTCCGAGGCACAGACTTCAGCAGCGCTCGCTCCAGCGCTCGAAGCTTCGCCTTACACGTCAAGGCGATGCGCGTCTCGATCCGAGAGACGATCCGCGTCTGCCAAGTGCCGCTTCCGCCCGCTGTTTTTTTCATTTGTTTGAGGCCGATCCAATAAAATAACTAGGTCCTCCAGCGAGGTTAGAACCAGGGTACCAACTTTTTTTTTTGTTCGGCTTTGTCTATTTTACTAGGGGAACCAAATCAGCCAAAAAAGGGGTTAAGAAGGGCACATAGCTGGGGGACCTAGGTAAGGTACTCACTTCACCAACACATCCCATTCTGATGATCACCTCTTGGAATGAGAAATGCGCGCCAGGCCCGGGAAGCCAACAGGTCGTTCTTATTGGTCGCTTGTCGCTTGCAAGTGAGCCAAGGAAATCATGGCTTTTGGCCGGGATGTGGAGTTTTTTTCCTGCTGCCTTCAAAATAGGACCTGCAAAATGAATCCCAGGTTTCCCAGGTTCCCCTATCTGGAAGACCAACGGCACCCAAAGAGAAAACAAAACAAAAACAAAGAAGCACACAGAGAGACTGGCCGACGTCCGTGAAGCTTTGTGAATGGCGTTGAGGAATGGTTTCTTTTGGGTGTCATTTCTACATGTCGCAAAGACTTCCAAGACTTCTCTCCCGAGCCTTCTCGCTAAAGATCAAACGATTTGGGCCTTACTACTAGTGTGCCCAATAAAGTAGCATCCTCGAACTTACCTTCAAATGGTTAAAAACAACACCGGCACCCGAAATTTCAACAACCCCTTAACATGTTGCCGTTCAAGGACCCAATGCTAAACCAGGTACAAGACCTGGTAACATTGGCCAAGCCGGGCTTTAAGACGCTGAGTGGTGGTCAACGGATTGCTTAGGGCCTAGTTCGTTTCTACCTGGACCCTCAAACTACCAAAAAAAAGAATTCACCCCATAATTATGGCGAAATCACCTGTTTTCATGGGTAGTTTGAGAGTCCAGGTACGCACGTCTCTGGCCGTACCTTCCATTTCCATTCTCTTCAGGGCTCATTCTTGCCAAACAATTGGCCATGGGAAAATGAAAGGTTGCGAAAGAGAACGATTCGTGATCAACCTTAAAGACTTCCAAGCCAACATTCTAGGGGTACCTTCTCCATTCTTTCCAGGGATCAAACATTCAGGGGAAACAGATCCGGTTTTGGAAAAGAACGATGGTTGCAAAGAGTGGAATTGGAATCAACCCCTAGAAACATGTGCTTTTGGTTCGCCTCTAGCATAGTCTTTCCAAGCAGAATAAAGTCCAAGGACTCTGGAAGTGATCGAGTCCACCACATGTTCGAGGGCATCGTTTTGGCGCGTCAAGCTTTGGTACCAGCTTGGGCATAGGTGTCCTTTTTGGAAAATAGGTGGGTGTCCCTGGTAGATGAGAAAAAACCACCAGGCAAACCAGGAATCGCCTTCTATTTCTTAAGCAAAAACAACCAAAAAGGCACACCTATGAGCTTGGGTCCTCTGGATTGTGTGGGAAGATTAGCGAGTCCCCCAATTTGTCTTTGAAATGGACCATGTACCGCCTTCTCAAACCGGAAAGGAGCAGCCCACTATTACCCCCAAGAGAGATCAATATAATTTGCCCAGATACGCAAATGGGAAAGTATAGTCAGGCGGAAAGCGAGTCCTCTCCCGCCTTGTCTCCATTGCACTTGGATTCAAGACTGGCTCTGCTGTAGACCTGCACAACGTGCAAAGCCTCAAACGGCTTCTTGTCCATGACCCCATCCTCGGAGAACCCTTGAGCTGAGGTCACGAGTAGACCCTTTTAATCGAAAGCAACCTGGTTTAAAGGGAAACCGCCGTGTGATGTGTTTAACTCTACAAAATGATTGCTTATGCCCCCCGCGGACTCCTAAAGACAAGAGATACGAAACAGTCCATGTGAATCTCCGACAAAAGACACGCCGCCGAAAACCGCTAAGGGGTTACACAGAGAGGGTTGTCCAAGAAGAAAGGGTCCCAATGTGGGACCAACAGGCCATCCAAAGACATTCCATATACACGGTCAAGGACAAGACAACCCAAACGCATCCAACTCGCCCTCCATTCATATGGATGTTATTTGGGCACATTGGTGTGTGTGTCCCTGTGACCGATAAGCCACTTGCAGCCCATCAAACATGGGACAAACCACCCGTCCAACAGCAGAAAACCAACATCCACTTTTGAACCCTAGGTTTTTTAAAGGCCATCACCCTCGCGCCTGTTCGTTTCCTACTTGGGCGCTCGATTCGCCGAGCTAGTAAGTTGTTGGTATCCGTTCTAACTCCCCCTAAATGGGCTCAACCTTGCTAACCACATACTCACTTGGCCGAACATCCAAGTAGGGGCCCGACTTTTCGTTTGTATGCTTTTGCGTTTGTTTGCTTTAACAACTCTTACCACATCCTGGTGGATGTGCTTGATGGTGGCCGATTTGGTCACACCTAAGACCGAATCGCGATGTAATGTGCATGGCAATCGCTCAGTGGGGTTCGCCTTTGTTATTAGGGGTAAAAAACTATGAGCGGCTAACCACTTCTCACCTCCTCTGGTGAATGGTCCAACAACAACTCCAAACTTTTTGCTTGCCACTAACGTGCTCAAAAGTGACTACAGTAATTAGTCCGGAAGTGAGACTGAGTGAGACCCACTAACTTGGAAAAATCGAACCTGCAAGTAGCCTCCCCTGGTGCGACACGTGAGTCATAATCAAAACCTGATACAAAAATGGTTCACATGTCAAGAATTAAGAAGGCGGATTTCCGGAGCTATTTATGGCAAGGGGATCATCCCTTACTAACCGTCACCAGTCCCCGGGTTTTGAGCACGTGACTCACTTGTTGTTGAACAATATGGGTCTGTCCTTGAGGGTGCCCCCTTGTTTGGTGGTTTTTGGAGGGAAACCAAACGGAACACCATCGATTTTTAGTTCTTTTTTGGGCGGGGGGATCCCATATTTAAAAAAAAAAAGACACGGGCCCATATGCTCTTCCCAAAAAGTGAAACTGGTGTAATTAAACATGATTTTTGCCCTCTGATTTTTTGCCCTCTGATTTTTTGCCCTCTGATTTTTTGCCCTCTGATCGCTCGTGGCTCACGTCGCCTTGCCCTTTTGGAGGTTCATGCCCAGGTGTGGCAAGGCCACCACCTCGAAAAGAGGTCCCTCGCGGTTGTTTTCCCCCCCTCAGTTGTTCAGTGACCCTCGCAACAAAAGGGAAGACCATTCTTGGTGGGGCAGCCACCAAGAAAAAGGGAGCCACTGAGCAACTGAGCCCCCCCAAACAGAAAAAAGTCCACCCCCTTCCCCCCAAAAAACAAAAAGAAGGTACCTAGAGCCTCCATGACCTTAAACATGGGAGCATTACCCAAAATCAAGGGGTTATGACTCATTATGACCTTTTCTAGGGGTCATGGGGACTCTAGGTAGCCCCAGAACCTACATGGCTCTGGCTCAAAACATGGAATACCCAAAATCGCCCCCTGGATGGAAACAAGGACCCAAACCTGCGTAGCCCTAGCTCTTTAAATTTGAGCCACACTCACATGTTCCCCAACAAGATGAATCTGAGGGTTTTTGTATTACACCCTGGGATTACACCTTTGGGAAATGGGTTCAAAATAACACGCTTCTATCCAGAAATGTGCCTAAATGGAGTCAATACCCAGTGGGTGCTTCCCAGATTTTATACAAAAAGCCCTTACATTGAAGGTTCAAGATCCAACCAAATGGCAAACTAGTAAGTCTGGGTCCCTCCAAGTCAATTCGTCCAGAATTCCAGAACACGTTTGGCAGTGGTGTTCATGACCTGCGTGCAAATGGCAAACGGATTCAACCCACGCGGAAAACAAAAAACAAGTTTAAACAAAAAAGTGGGAAACCAGAGAAACAAAGAACAGCAGAAGGTTCAACCTCCATTTGCTTAAGTCCCCTGGAAAAAATGTTTCCAGTAGTGATAGATTCCCTTTAAAACGTAACAGGGGAAAAAAACTTAAGCAAATGGAAGAAAAGGGAAAATTCAAGCCTGGCCCTAGTCTCAAAATTGGTTCCCAGAGACCCTCTCACAGACCGTCAGTCTCAAAAAGCCGCACGTAGGGCCGCGGGTGTGGCTCAAAATTAAACAGCAGGGGCTACGCAGTGGTTATGTTTTGGTCCATGTTTCCACATACCAGGGTTCCATTTGGGTACCGGATTTTTTAGCCACAGCCAAATGAAGGGGGCTCACAACGGGCCCACATAAAGCAGTGAACGGGCCAAGGGCCCAAAACATCAAACCAGGCCTTAAAATCAGTCCTGGTCGGCCTGTCAAGCAGCAAAACGCCACTTTGGTCAAGGGCCCAGTTTTCAAGGTGTGTTTCAAGAATTACCCCATTTTGCTCCAGGCATATCCCAATTGAAACCAAGAAAAGGTTGCAACGACCTACCCAACACCGACCCCACAGGGGGATTTTATCTCAGGCCGCTGCCTGAAAACGCTCCTGGCGGTTTCGCTCGCCCCACAAAGCGCTGCCTTCCTTCATGGCAGGGGTACTGTAAGCACACCGCTTCAGGGTGCAAGCTGGGACGTATTGAATGAAAGGCGGATAGACCGGATAGACACCAACCAACCAACCAACCAACCAACCAACCAATCAACCCACGCACCCATCCGCCCCGCCAACCCACCCGCCCGCCCGCCTGCCCGCCCCACACCCGCCCACGCCCACCCACCTGCCCGCCCACCCACCCACCCACTGCCCGAGGGAAATGGTTTTCAGAAGGCTCCAACCCTGATCCTTGGCCAATGGATTCCGTGGACTCCGGTCGAACAAACATCAACGGGTTTGTTTGGGTTCAGCCACTCAAAATGTATGCCTGTGCCTTGTTTGAGTTGGTTCCCCATTTTGGGGGGGTTGGTTTGAAGGGAAATACAGAAGGAAAGTCAGTTTTGTTTAGCGGTCTCCCAATTTTGACGCACACTCAAATGGAATCAAGCGTTGTTTGTCTGCCAAGGTCACTGGAGAGACACTGGAGAGTTGTTTGCTTAAGGCATGATCAATGAACAAAGAAAAGGGCACTGTCAAAGCGACCTGAAAAGGACCCTTTTTGGTTGGTTTTGGGGGATGAGCAGGGCATAACCATGTACCGACTTACCAACTAGCACACGAGCAAAATGGAGGTGTCCAATCACCAGTGCCCTTTGCTGAGTTGCCCTAAGAAAGCGCGATTGAGTCTTTGATTTGAAAGGGGGTTGGATATGATGCCACAGCCATTGACCAGCAGATTTCAGTTTTAACACTGCGGGTGTTTCCGTAAAGTAACACTTCAGACTTGGTTTGGCCAATCCAGGAAGTGAGTCAAACTTGTTTAATTTGTTTTACGGGACCTCCCAAAATGGCTTCGTTCTTTCTCTTGGTTTCCCTTTTAAAACCCCAAAAAGAGTACCCTCAAAAGGAGACACTTGCAACTGCCAAAGGTGATCGACCTTTTGCGGGGAAACATCACCCAAAGGGGAAACACACAGAGGCTCTTTAAAAACATATGTTGACTGATGGGAGAATGTAGAATGCGCGATTAGGGTGTGAATCGTTCCGTTGCTTGTGTCCGTGCACTGGCTGGTGTTCCAAGGGAAAACTAACATGCAACCTGACTGGGGAATCCAGGAAGACAATTTTCCTGTAAAAGGGACCCTCTGGTAGGTTCAGGACGGGAATTGAAAGTGATACATCATGATTGGGGAGTTCCAGCTTCACTAAAATGGTCCAAGCCCAACAAAACGTAGAGTCCACGAACTCAGGAAGTTCAGAACAAGACACATCCACTAGGTCCTCCAGTAATAAGGGTACCAACTTTTTTCTGTAGTCTGTGCTAGTAGGGGAACCCTCCCAACAACAAAAAAGGGTGAGAGAAGGGGCATAGTCCATTCTTTTCAACCATCGTTCTTTTCAAAAACCGGATCGTTTTCCCCTGCGGTGCTGATGCTTTTCTGGAAAGATTTGGATCCCTGAAAAGAATGGAAATGGAAGTGTCCCTAGAACATCCATGATTGAAGGGGCCCAAAATGGCTGTGGGTCAAAAATAGGTACCCAAAATGGAACCCTGGTCAATGGAAACAATGACTAAAACCAGTGGTCCATATCCTGGTGGCTTAATTTTGTACCCAAACTCCGGGTCCGGTTTTATCCATTTTTTGCGCAGTCCTCCTTCCGCGGCCTGGGGCCTGCCGATCGGATCCAGAAGCTTCGATCCCCAAAAGGATGGCAATTGTGGCGGTTTTTCTTTTGGATCCGCGATCCGTGGATCCGTCCAACCAAAACCCAGCCACAGCCCTCCAGGAGACTGCGATCGCGTAGGGATGCTGCTCTGCTACTAAGATACTTAGGCAGCCGAGTTCCGATTCATTCCAAGATCCCTGGAGCAAAAGGTCCTACCTTTAATTGGGGTATGGCAAAGCCATGTCCGAAAGGTCTACGGGGCTATGGTCACACCAAACACTAGCCATGCTGAATTCTAGGGGGCGCCGCATCTTCGATTGAGTCCTCAGCACTTGTTGGGGGCAAGCCTTGGTTACCTTGCTGTAGGTAAATTGATCCACTGGGCACGTGAAGTTCACTTTTGGGACAAAAAAGCTTCGGCACTTCTAAATCCTCCAGTAGACAGGATAGAACAAGGGTACTTTTGTTTCTGAGATTCTGTAGTTTATTTTAGTAGGGGAACCCTCCCCAAAAAGGGTCAAAGGGCACTTCTGGGGGACCTAGACTTCGTCCCAATTTTAGCCCTTGAAAGCATCACGTCTCAAGGCGCAGCCGATGTCAGCAAGCTTGCTTCGTGAGAATGTGGGGACCCGACGCGGGTTCAACAACCATGCGGACTCATGCGGCGGGGTTTTCCCCCTTCCCCCCAAAAAAACGAAAACAAACATGGTCTCAGTTGTTTAGTGACCCTAAAAACAGGGAACCCTTTTTTGGGAAGACCATTTTAGTGGGGCAGCCACCAAACAAAAAGGGAAAAACGGAGCCACTGAACAGCTGAGTATAAAATGGTAAAGGATGGCTTCTAGAAGGGCGCGCTCCCTCACAAATCGACCAGCTTCATGATCAAGAGGCTCAACCGGTCAGCTTGACCTATCTGGGGGCGACTTGACTCCCATTGACAGAAAGCGCGAAGAATGAGAGTGCTAGCTACTAGTTAGTTAGTCAGTTAGTTAGTTGGTTAGTTAATTAGTTTGTTTGCTCGATGGATTGACTGATTGATTGATTGATTGATTGATTGATTGATTGATTGATTGATTGATTGATTGATTGAATGACTGACTGATTGATTGCTTGCTGGCTTGATTGATTGCTTGCTTGAGTGACTGACAGACTAGTTGGATGATTGATTGACTGGCTGACTGACTGACTCACCGGTGGAGTGTGTGTCAGTTTCATTGTTTGACTGTGTGATTGTTTGATTGAACATTTGTTTGTTTTGTCGTTTGTTCGTGTGCTTGTTCGTGTTCTGCTTGTTCGCGTCTTGCGTAGCTAGTTAGTCGTGTAATTAGTTAGTTAATTGGTTGGCTGGTTGGCTGGTTGGTTGTTTGGTTGGTTGGTTGGTTGGTTGGATAGTTAATTAGTTCGTTGGTCAGTCAGTTAGTCAGTTAGGTAGATAGTTAGTTAGTTGGTTTGTGTATTTGATTGCATGCTTGTGTGTGTGTGTTTGTTTGTTCGTTCGTTCATTTGTTTGCCCGTTTGTGTGTTCATTTGTTTCGTTCTTCGTTCATGTGTTCGTGTGTTCGGTTGCTTTGTTGGCTTGTTGTGTTTGTTTGGTTGGTTGTTTGCGTGTCTGGTTGATTGATTGATTGATTGATTGATTGATTGATTGATGGATCGATCGATCGATCGATTGATTGATTGATTGGTTGATTGGTTGCTTGATTGCTTGATTGCTTGGTTGTTTGATTGCTTGATTGCTTGATTGCTTGATTGCTTGATTGTTTGATTGCTTGATTGCTTGATTGCTTGATTGTGTGGTTGTGTAGCTATTTGTTCGTTTGTGGGTTTGCTTGTTTGTTTGGTTTGCTGGTTTGTTTGTTTGGTTGGTTGTTTGGCTGCTTGCTTGTGTGGGTGTGTGGCTATTTGCCTGTTGGTGTTTTGCTTGCTTGTTTCATTGATTGATTGATTGATTGATTGATTGATTGATTGATTAATTGATTGACTGACTGATTGAGTGATTGATTGCTTGATTGATTGAATGATTGATTGATTGATTGATTGATTGCTTGCTTGCTTGCTTGATTGATTGATTGATTGATTGATTGATTGATTGATTGCTTGCTGTCTTGCTGGCTTGTTTGTTTATTTGCCTGTTGGTTGGTGTGTGCTTTTGTGTGTCTGTTTGTTCGTCTGTTGTTTTGATTGTTTGAACTTGTGTTTGATTGTTTGATTGATTGTTTGTATGTTTGTTTTGCTTGTTTGTCGACTTGCCTGCGTATTTGTTTGCTCGTTCGTTCCTTTGTTTGCAGTGACTGCGTGCTTTTGTTCTGTGTTTGCGCGCTTGTGTCTTTGTCTTTGTGAGGGTACCCTTTTCACCTTGGCTCAAAGCCAAAACATATTAATGTTCTGCCCCTGTTCCACATTTAATCGTATTAAGCTTACTCAGTGGATGGGCACAAAAAGTCAAACTTCTGTTTATAACGAAAATGGCCCAAACCCAAAAAGGACAAAGTCCAGGAACAAGTGAGAAACTATCAATTCTTCTACGTCCTCCAGTAAGGTTAGAATAAGGGTACCCTTTTTCTGAAGTCTATTTGTAGGGGAACCATCCCAATCAAAAAAAGTAGTACTAGTAGTAGTACTAGTAGTAGTATCTATCTGTCCGCTCTTTGTATGTATTTGTCCACTCTTAGTATTTATGTTTTCCGCTCTTAGTCTCTAATTATCCGTTGTTAGATTAAGCTCTTGTTCAAAAGGGCACCTAGCTGGGGGACCTGCTCTTCCTGGAGACCCACAAGCGCCCTCCATCCGAGGCCAAGGCATTCTGCCTCCCGCGCTGCCAGCGGAGCTTCTGGTGGTGGGTCTGGGCCCTGCCGTTGCCAACTTTCCTTCGGTCAACTCCCGCTTTGGTTCGCCACAGATTGGCACAAAGCTTCCGAAAACATTTAGACGGTTGTGGGTCAAAACATAAGGTGCCTTTTTGGGATGATTACCGCTCCACTGTTGTCTTTTTAGAAGACTTTCTGGGTGTTCACCGGGGCACCGGGGTTCTGACCCATAGCCAAATAGTTGTTTCGGGCTGGGCGCAAGATCTGAGATTGCACAATAATAACATGATGTGAATACTGGTGTTGAGCCAGCCCCTATTGGTGCTAAGCCACCCCCCAATTAAAAAAAGAAGTGCAAAACAAACGAAGAAGTGTTTGGGAAAGTCGCAAGTGTTGCGCAACATTTCAGAGGCTCTGAGCTCGATTCACGAAAATGCCGCGCAACATGTCCACTGGACTCAAAAACAACAAACACAAGACTTTGCAGCCATGGCTTGATCGCATGTGCTCACCAAGATGTACTTTCAGCTCTTGTTCAGCTGTATCCGTTGCTCTGCTACTGGTCTAGGTCCTCCAGTAGAGAGAGGTTAGAATAAGGGTACCATTTTTTTCTGTACTCTTTTTTAGTAGGGGAACCCTCCCCAATAAAGAAACGGTAAAAGGGCACTACTGGGAGACCTAGTGGTTGTGAAGGTGCTGCTGTTTCCAGTTGGTCACTTGTGACTTGCAGTTGCGATTGCTCTCCCTGCGCCCGCAGTCGGTTGTGTGATGCGCATTGTAGTCCAAGGTGTGCTGCCATCTTGTACTTTTCCTGTAGTCTATTTTAGGGGAACTCGCTCAACCCAAAAAAAAGGGAGAGAAGGGGACCTGGAAAACCTCGTCAAATGTGGCGCACTCTCCTATGAATCGTGGTAGCACTATCTTCCACCCGTTGCCGCTGATGCTAACCCGCCATTCCTGCTATGTGGGGAGGCCGCCAGGTCTTTCCCAGGTGTGATGTTGTTTGCTCCGCCTCTATGTTAAAATAGGATCAACTTGATTCCCGTGTACCTGAAGCGAATGACCCGTGTGTGAAGTGGCGCCCTCTGGTTTTCCTATGGCTCGGCGATGCAAACAAGTGTAAAAGCTCAAGGCTTGGACGTGGTTATGCCATACATCAGCTGCACAACGGATGTACTTTAAAAGGTCAAACCGCATTTCTAAGCCCGGACAACGAACGGCTCATCAGGGTTATGGTGCGCAGTGCATTTTGCTTCCCGCTTTCTCGAGGTGTTCGTCAGCTTCTAGCATGCTTAAGCCCCCAGGAAAAGTATGTCCATAGTGATAGGTTCCCTTTAAAAACAAAAAAGGAAAGTTATAATTAAGCAACTTGAAGAACCTGTTCTCCTCTTGGCAGGGGCTCGATTGCTGCCTCCCCTACCTTTGACGTGTGAGCTGCTCCCAGTTTGCATGTCAAAGCCGCCGTTCAGTTCTGATGTCGCCGTCCAAATACGTCGAAACCCACAAGCTTGCAGCCATACAGTTGCAGCCATACAGTTGCAGCCATACAGTTGCAAGACACCTTGCCCCGATTTTAGAAGGAATCCGGACCACTTCTGCGGAAAATCCCAAATCTGCAAAGGTTGATGAGACATTTCCTGAAACAGGGTTCCTTAACGTGAACACGCTGAGAGCCTTCAAGCCCATGGCTGTCCTTTTGAACAGAAAGATAATTGAAGCACCAGGTATTCAGTTGTGAAGATCGCCACCGTGAGATTCACAATCACCGCGCGGGAGGGCCAAGTTCTGGGCATTGCAATGACTGGAAGGCCTTCCAAATGACAGATTTATCCATTGAACTCAAGACTCCCTGGTGTATATATATATATATATAATATGTACCTGTATATATATATATATGTATATACCCGCTTCCCTTCAATTAGCGGTTTGGATTGGTGGTTTGGTGGATAAGGAGGGGTTTCCCATGTAACCTCCACAAGATCCAGGGTTTCAAATCCCAAACCATATATATATATATATACACATATATATATATATATATGTGTGTTTCTGGGTATTGTAGAAGCGGAAACCCCTCATTCCCACCAAACCTGACCCAGCCTCCTTCTCCGACTTCTCTTCGCCTGAATCCGAAAGCCAGGCCATGGTCTCCCCCAAAAGACCTCGTTTAGCCCCATGTATGAAACAAAGCACCCTTAGTGGATCAGGACAGTTGACAGTTGCCGCAAACAAACCCATGTCTGGCCTCATGCGGTCTCTTCTTTCAACCATCCAGGTACCGCAAAACGGCGGCGTTTTCACAAAGATGCCTTTTCGATATTGTTAGGCAACCCAACCCAAAACCCCACCCGAAAAACGAAAAAGGAAAAAAACAAAAACGGTCAGAAGAAATTTAACATGGGCCATGAGCCCTTGGCCTAGACCTTGTAAAGGAACAAACATGCAGACATCGAAGGCAACGAAAAAGGACAAGGCTGCCGAGAAAGAACGTGGTTTGTCTCAAAACTGGATTCGGACACCCACGTACGGTTCTGGACAGCATCACCTGAGACGGAACCCAACAAATTATGCTTGAACCACCCGACCTTGAGAAACAATTGGGCATCCTTGGTGGACAGACTGATGTCCACCAACCGCTGGTTTTGTTTGGTTCTTCATCAAGAAAAACATAGACAATTTGCAATTGGAACCCCTGCTCACCTGCCCGGCTCGATCAAGCCACAGGCGTTGGCATTGTACCTTTTGGGACCATCCAGCTATTCGATCGACTTGCACCACGGGTAGAACACTGGGACCTTCCTTTTTTTGGATTTGACTAGTCCTTACTTGGATGATTCAGCAAGCTAGTGAGCGGTTGGATCGCCACCGGGGGTATGACCTACTTAATGAGTTGGGCCGGTTGTAAGTAGGTTATAGCCCAGGTAAGGTCAACATCGGATGACCCAACCCATGGTATTGAATCGGCCCGCTCAGGACCCCCACCCTCCTAAAAAAAAACATGGAATTCAACAGGCCCCACACAAACGACCCCAAATTCAGAAAGCCTCACCCAAATCGAACGCTCAAATCCCAATGAATCCCTGGTGATGCAGCTGGTCTCATTTTGTCCACACTGCTGCGCCTAAACCTTGCTGACATTTGCTGTCCATTTGCTTTGCAATACCAACACAAAGCTGGCAGTGCTCGCTTCGCACTGGTACCAGCACAGCCAAGCCAGCACAAACATCAGCCCGAACGGCGGCGTTTTTTTTGTTGATTGTTTAGGGTTGGAAATCGTTTAGGGTTGGACCTTGCGCAGTAGACTCCGGCCAGTTTAACCCTTGGACTCCTGAGCCTTGGACCTCTTGAACGTTAGACCCTTTGGACGCCTGTGCGGGTCAATGGGCCTTTGGTTTCGGCTCCTTGGACCCCTGTATCCATTTCTTTCTGCCCCTCTCACAAGCATAGTTTGCTGGACACTTGCCTCAATGAGCCACTTCCAAGCCGGTCCAGGGACACAAGGGTGCTTGCATGCAAGGTTGCCAGACATCGAAAGGCCGAGGCCCAAAATTGATGAACCAGAAATCCAGACAAATCCAGGGATGACAAGGGTCAAGGGTTTCAAGGCTCCAAGGGTGCAAATTTTACGACGCCGAAAGGCCCAAGAGTCAAGGACCAGACACCCGAGCAGCACCAGCGTATCCACATGTCCCGAGAAAGCATCCACAAAGGGTCCAGCAACGCAAGGGTTCACAGATACAATGGTCCAGGGGGGTGGGGGTGGGGGTGGGGGTGGGGGTGGGGGTGGGGGTGTGGGGGTGGGGGGATGGGGGTGGGGAGGGTCCAATGGTACAAGGCTCCAGCTGGCCTAATTCAAAAGTAGTATTGCCCAATACTAAAGTAGTATTGCCCAACCACAGAGATTGTTTCAGTGCCAGGTTTTGTTCTTTAGCCGAAAAACCTTCTCGACCTTTTCTGGGGGGGGGGTTATTAATCCGGTGTCAACATTACAAACCACTTACTATCTTGGCCGAGCACTCAAGTACGCATATTCCACCGAGCGATAGAAATGACCAAGTGCTGCAGCCCTATAACTGGCTTCATTCTTCTACCATCAAAGTCACGCCGTTCAGTGGTAGCTTAAAAGGGAACCACCAACCAATTTCCGACTTTGACCCCCAACAAATAGTCCAAAGAATCTTTAACCCCCAACAATAGTCAACACAATCTTTGAACCCTGCAACACATAGTCAACCAAATTTTTGATAACCCCCAAACATAGTCGCCCATCTAGAACCTCGGCACCTTGTACGACTTCGCCATGCTCGAACGTGGCTTCTCTTCCCGGGGATTCCGAATCAAACAAGTCACATAGGTGTCCCTTCAGAAAAATTGCCGCGTTGTCTCTGGTACGTGGAACATGCCAATCTAAACCCAATTTCCAATCCGACTAACCGATCAAAAGAACACCTATAGGACACCTATGGACTGGGGAGTTCTCAACCCTATGAAAACGGTTTCCTTGTGGATTCCAACTTTCTTTATCCAAGATGTCCACCAATGTGGAGATCCCTCGCTGCTAGGGATCCCATTCCCATTCCCTTTCCGGAAGCCCCTTTTCTCCAAACGCCGGGTCTGCTAGTCTGGGGGCAGGGGATGCTTGGGACTTTTTTTACGCGAGTTCCACGTCCGCAGAATGCTGAATCGACCGTTTCTTTTTGGGTTTCATCCAGCTGATCTAGGTCCAACAGAGAGGTTAGAACAAGGGTTCCCACTTTTTTCAGGACCTCTATTTTAGTAGGGGAGCCGAATCTCCCAACCAAAAAAAAGGGGGTTAACAAAAAGGGCACCAAAACTTTGGGGCACCTCGTGATTTGTCTTCGCCGCCCTTTTTGGGCCATCCGGCAAAGACCACTAAAAATGAACGTCCAGGTCGTGAGGATTTTTTTCAAATTAAGCGGCGCCCTGAGCCCCAGAGACCATGGGATGGTTTTGGGTAACCGGATGCAATTTTCAGCTTGGCTGTGGCTCAACATGGAGACCAAATGGCACCCTTGGCAATTGGAACCAAAGACGAAATCCTGCCCTAGCTCTTTAATCTTGAGCCACACCCATATGGCCCAGGGGGTTTTCTTTGGTACCTCCTGAGGATATGGCTTTTGGGGGGTACACAGGGCTCGTTCAGTACCTCCCTAGAAGGTACTTGGACCCTCTGGGTAGGGTACGAATTCGGGGGAGGAACCGAAGCACCTACAAAATTGGAATCGGTGCGCGTTGCGCAGGTAAAATATTGTTGAAAAAGTCAACGGACCGAAGTTCTTTGCGACTGGAGGGCGCTTCTCCAACCGACAGGAGCTGGCCGTTGTTCCTTCTTAGAACATCCACTGGTTGGTTGGTTTCAAGGGGAAACATGGGGAAACCCAAGCGAAGACCGAAATTCATTTTGGGGGGTCAGCTAAAAAAAGTCACACCCACTCTTCTCAGAAACCTGTTCCAACTCATGAAGTTTGCCCAAGCTGAGTTGGGTTTGTCCAACGTATTTGTCCAACTTCCAGTCTGAGCTCCGAGACGCCGACCAGCTTCCGCCATGAGACACCCGGCTTGCGCCGGGGTTGCGGTGGAAAAGGCGACCAAGAAACTGGGTGCCAATGTTGAAGGTTGACTGGGTAGGTGTCAAAATAGGGAGACCCTTAAAAATGGTGGGTCTCTTGTTGCTTCCCTTGAAACATTTCCCCCCCCCCCCAAAAAAAGGGTACCCGAAAAAATCCGCACGCCCTGTTAATTTGAGAGAATCGGGTCATTGGATGTCAAATAGGGGATCCGTCTATAGATAGTAAGAACTGATCAATCACAAATTGACGAGGAACGAGCTAACAGTGCAAACCTTTCCATATACCATCCAAAATTCCTCAAGAATGTGAACAACTCAAGGCACCTTCCGCCCCCTGCGTGGGGTACGAGGAAAGTGGCTATGCTCTTGTTCACGAAGGCTCGTCTCAGGCTCAAAGCCAAACACAATGAAAACAAATCTGCTCAAGCTTTCAGCCTCACGTTGAGTTTCACTAAGCAACACCAGCGTTGCTGAGTGATAGATCCGCTTCAAAACCAGCAGGGGAACCTACAACATGTCCTTGATCAAATGTCAAGATTCCAATGGGTTCACATCCATCGGCATGCGTTGAATGGAACCAGAACGGCCGCACCAGATGAATCTCCGCGGTGATATCTAACTCTCATCAGGTAAACCTGAAAGGAACTCTTCTTGGTTGCTGTTGACCCCCCTGCAAAAAGTTTAATCGTTTGCAGGTTTGGTGGAAAACACATTTTATTTCCCCCCCAAAAAAAGTCTAAAGATCCATCCCAATAGCAGCCAAGTCTTCATTGGGTCGGTCAAACTTGATCCCTAACAAGTTGTTCACTTGAAGGTGTTTTTGTTTGAGGGTGTGCTTTTTGCGGTTGATTCCAGGGGAAATCAAAGGAAGAACGCAAGTTTGGAGGTCCCGTTCCACATTTCCAAACATATCCACTTGTTGCAACAGCTGGAAATTGGGGGGGGGGGGGGGCTTGGGGTCTTGATTGCGCAGGTGCAGAATCGAGAGGAGACGTAAGCTGAAAACTACAACTCAGTTGCCCCAGAAGTAGAAGGTGGTCATCTTTTGGGATCTGGACTAGACATGGGCCAATAAAAAAGCCAATTCAGCTCGGTTTTGGACAACTGAGACAAGACACGTCGCCGAGCAGCAAACAAGTCACGATGAAATCCTCGTATGCTTGCCTCCTGAATATTGCCTGACAAAAAGTCCAGGAACTTGTTGTTTACCTGTAAAAGGGCAACCCAAAAAGTGACTAAAGCCCAAAAAAAGAGGAAGTGAATATGATGAAGGAAGTGTAACCAAATGAGCGCGCAACTTTGAGGGTCCCCACCCAGGTGGGCCGTTTTGCTCCGCGCTGTCTGTCGTTCAGTGGCTGAGACTTTGGAAACAACAGCTCACCTTCCTGGCCCAACAGCACTCTCCATCGAACACGAATTGAATGAGGGTTGACTCAGTGGCCTTGCCCACAACAAAAAAAATAAGTAGCCAGTGGCTTAGCCCCCGAAAAGAAAAATAGTGTATAGAACAAGGCAACAACACTATGTTCAGATTCATGTGTGTTTTACATTCAGTCTACCCTAACACATAGAACTTGTTTGCAGCAGACCATGGGTGCAATGTTGAGACGTTCAGCAGCTGAGCGAACTAAAGAAGTAGACGCGGTAGGTCAGAAAGGTGATGGCCTCACGATAAACTCCAAACTTGGCGCACTGGGGCACATGGAAAAAACAAAAAAACTGGCAGTGGGTCAAACATAGGTATCCCAAAATGGAACCCTGGCAAATGTAAACAAGCAAAACGACAAGAAACAGCTTCTGCATCAGATTCAGTCTTCCGGCCAACTATAAACTGGTGCTTCAGCTTCAAAAATAAGGAGCAACCCGCTTTGAACACCCCAAACGAGATGCTGGAGATGTGGTCCATGTTACCTTGGTATCAACTTGATATATCACTTCCTCAGACGGCCCGACAAAAAGTCTAAACTCTTGCCTCAGTTGTTCACTGACCCTGGAAAAAAATCGAACCCTTTTTTGGGCTTGGACCATGTTAGTGGGGCAGGCACCCAAACAAAAAGGATTGAACAAGAAAAAGAATTGGAGCCACTGAACAACTGAGTTGCAGTGCCACTAAAATGGCAACCAAACCCAAGTTCGGAGTCCATGAACTCGAGTGAGATATGGATACAGTACCTGGCGATTGAACAGAGGTCCGACCAAAATACCGACCCTCCTCTTTTGCAAATCGCAAAGCACCGCCCGTGTTGAGGCTCATACCACATACCCAGAATTGTTTGTTCTTGCGATATGGGGGTTGTCTGTTTTTGGTTTGTTGAAACACACCCATATGGGCTTTAGAAGTATGTTGGTGTCTCTTTACCACTTTCAGGGTATAGCAGTCTTTCCAAGTTTATATTGGTGGAATATCAATCGCAACCCATACATCCCAAACCCATACCCAGGATGGATCTGGGTGAGAACTGTAGTGCGCTGAACCCAACAGTGAAGACTCGATGGAGCGCGGCACACTCAATTGGCAGTTCGTACTGTGCAGGGACGAACTCGTGCACCACCTGCAAATCCTTGAGATGATTCGATTCCCCAACGTAAATACCGTAACGAAGAATGGAGATTCAACTCCATGGCTTCCTTTCGTGGTTTTCGAGAAGCGGATTTCGCAACCACCCGCCAAAGCCAGAGGCTTAACTCTCTGAAGCTGGCGAAGCAAAAGGTACAGGAAACCAGCGCCAAAGGAGACCCACTGACCAGAAGACCTGCCAACATTCCGATTCTGTTCCCTCCATTGGCTCAACGCCCCCTGGGGGAAAAAGAAACATGTTTTTGTTTTTCCCCCGCAGCGTTGACACATCTACTCTACAATATGTTGAAACCAACAGGGGAAACAAACACATATGCTTTAGCAAATCAAACATGGTGGATCATCATCCAAACAAAAGGCAGGAAGCTCCTAATCTTTTGCGAGGTCGTGATTTTAAATTCCCAAAGAGATTGAAGGAGTCAGGAGCGCCGTTGAAGTAAAAGGGAACCCAGGATTCATAAACCTTTGGTTCATGAATAAAGGGGTGCCCCCATGCAAGAGAGAATCCGGATAACTTTTGGGGGAGTTGGCAGCCCGAAAGAGGGTCCACAACTGAAGTAGACACCCCAAGACTCGTTCAACACCCAGAGATCCAACCTAAACAACGTAAACAAGCATCAGCCGTGTCTTTTTCAGCGACCCGCCCAAAGAAACAATAATGGAAAAAACCACAAACGGTGCTCCGGCAAGACCTCAGAGTCGGAGATGAAGGTGCTCAAGCAAGTTAGCAAGTGGATAGCCCCCGAAAGAAGCAAAACAAAGCGTCAAGGTTCAGCCCGCTTCGGGGACTCAGAAAGTGGATTAGAGCCTACTGTGGATGGACGAAATTGTGCACCACCTGTAAATACCAACAAACAATGGTTTCAACCATGGTTTCAAAGTGGTGCGAAATGGATTCCGTCCATCCACAGTCGGATACGAACAACTCACTAACTTGGCGAATCCAGCCCAGTACCCACTTGACTTGCTGACTTTCAGTGAGGAATCACCCTTTCGGCGTGGGGTCCCCTTGAAGAAAACCACCAGTTGGACGGTGTTCTTGGGGTCATTGCCTCATTCCCTGCTGATCGGCAAGTTGACAAAGGGACCCCGAAGGGTTTCCGTTGAGGAAGCCTGGCGAAAGCAAGGGCTTCCAGGTTCGAGCCGGAGCGTTAGATGGAATATGGGGAAATGATTCGAAACTAGTGAATCCCAAGCCATAGTAGGCAACCAACAAACAAATCTTTTGGTTTTTAAAGGGTGATTCCCTTGGTTACCTACTATACAAGTAAAGGGAGCCACTGGGAGGGTGAACGTGACCGATCTGGTTGGGCAGAATTGCATGTGGAATTGTGCCATCTATTTCACCAACAAGTCGCAAACCCCGCGATTCCGACTCAACCTTCCCCCCACAAACACATATGATGCATTCTCCATACTTACTGTAGTGAACCTTCAAATTCAAAATTCCAAGAAATGGACGCCTGTTGCATGTTCGGGCAACCACGAGGATTTTAATCCCCCCCTCTCCATTTTTGAAAGGGCACCCTCATGTATATATATATATATATCTATATATATATGGCCGTGGGTTAAAATCCCGTACCCCCAGTGAACATCCCAATCCCCACTAAAATAGACTAAAATGGGTGGTGCACCTACCCCAAAATGGTACCATTGGTTTTGACCCACACCCATATGTATTGAACATATCTGGGCTCATGCCACTCCTACATTGCTCCGAGAAGCATGGGCTGCGCAGCAGAGTCCAAGCACCTTCCACTTCAGCGATGGTGCCTCGCGATTTGACTCACAATGACCCATGGCCACTTGTCAATGGTAGGCCGCCCCCAGTGCCCACTACTCTTAAGGTATGTCAGCTCCTGACTGAAAATAATGAGCATTTCCCCATGAAAAACTGCATGTCATAGATGCTTCAATGACCCGAGAGCAAGGTGCCTATTTAGAGGTTGTTTGGTTGGCCAGCCCATCCCTGGCTGTTGGTTCCTGTTTAGGGGACTTTGGTTATCCTTTAAGACCGCCAAACAAGGGTACCCTCAAAAACAACACACCCATTGCAGCAATTGCATGCTTGCCACCTATGTGGGTAGCTGGGCGGCTCTTGCGGGCGAACCTCTCGTATGTTCCATGGAAGGCCATGCTGTTTGCGCGAAAACAAACATAAAAGTTTCAAGCCGGGAAATCGCAAAGCAAACAAAAAAATGGTATTGGCAAAGATTGCATGCTTGTTTGACCAGAAGGTTCCAGGGGCGATTCGGTCACACCAAAAACCAGGCAGGAGACCTACTAAGCAGGGTTACTCGCCGCTTACAAAATGGGCGCGGTCACCTCCAAATTTCCAGGTTAAACAAAGGGACATGCGACTTCTTCCTGTTTAAGTGTGGGTGCTTGAGTTTGAAAGGGGCTTACCCACCGCAAGTTTGAAAAGGATTTGTTTGCCACAGCTTAAGCCTTTTTTTCGGGCTTCC